CAAATACTGTACTACGGGGGGGGGAATATGTTTGCATGGGGGATACTCCTGTACACCCCCCTAAATTCAACACTGGCTCAGATACTGTACTTCAGGGGGGGGGGATTTGTTTGCATGAGGGGATTCCTCCTGTACACCCCCTGAATTCAACACTGGCTCCTTACATACATCACAGCAGATCATTATGATGAAGCATGGGGGTACTTTTAGCAGCCATATTGGTTCAATAAAATGCACTGCATATCTAGCATAAAAGACATAAGAAGGGCCATATTTATTTTCTATTAAAGTGTTACTGTTTACTCTGTTCTGTTTTGCTGCTTATTTATATTTATCTTTATTAATATTTATCCATTTGGCTGATGTCTTTATTCAAAGTGTATGTATAATTAAACAAAAATGTTGATAAAAACAAAGGCTGTAACTGATAATAACACTTTCTCCTGTAACTTTTTATTGTCATCTATCCAAAATGTTAATGTTACTCTGTTCTATTTAGCTATTTATTTATCATTATGTTTATTAGGTGCATTTAATTTATCAACAACTTTATTTTAAAAAGACTCACTATTTACCTGCTTGGAATAGTGACTGCTGAATAAAATCCATTTTGTTTAAATCAGCTGCTGTTCTTTTAACTGACAATACAAGCTTCTTGTATGTAGCAATACAAGTATCCCATGTAGCATCAAATACATAAACAACAGGCATCTTTTATTTCAAATATAAAAATATGATTACTTGTGTTATAATGAATTTTTTAACTACATGTGAATAAATTTATTTCATTTATATGGATTTCTTGCAAACTAAAAGGATTTTCAATCAAATATAAACTAGCAATTACTATTACATCATCAGTAAATTATGCAAATTAGTACTATCAAAGGTCCAAACCTCCACTTGGTGATGTGTTTTGAACCTTCAAAGGGCAAAATCTAGCCTTTATTACATCTCCACCAGGTTGGAAAACAAACTTACTTTAGTATTTACCCATAATATCTAGTTTGGCTCTACCTACCTCCCTAATATGGTATTCCATGTCAAAATCTTCATCAGGATCTTCACTAAAGAAAAATAAAACTCCTGTATTGGTATCCAACCAGCACTATAATTAATATTCCTAGGGGGAAAAAATGCACACACATTTCTTGTTCTGTATTCAATTTTTGCACTACAATTAGTAATACAAATGTGTACTATAACTTCTGAAGCTGAAGAATGGACAACTAGTTCTGCAATGAAAATGCATTAAAATACATCATGGTTACTTGGTTTTCAAATAGCAAGTAAATGTAATGTCATTGATGTCATATGCAATACTGAAATTTAAATGATTCACTGCTTGCTAAATTAGTTGACTAAATTATTTGACAAAAGTTTTGTATGGGTGTGTCCACTTATACCTGACACACTGTTGGTTTGAGTGTCACCAAACTTGGGATGTACCCTTGAAGTCTCCTGGGAGCAACAAGGGGGTATGGGACAACATTTGAACCTAACTCTCCTGTTACACCCTGGGAGTCCCTCTAAGTCATTTGTGTGAATTGAATAGGTACGTACATTTGCTGGTTAGTAAAACTAACTTCTTAACCAATATCTTTCAATATAATAGATCATGGTATTCATTACAATAAACATAGCTATTAACCAATAATGGAAGTTAAGTGAATTGGAAAATACATGATGTTCTCAAATGTACCTTATAATCTGAACTATTCATTGGTAATTCAGAAACTGGATACTAAACAATTCTAATCTAGATTTTTAAAAACTGACACTAAGTACTGAATGCTAACATTAGAGTAACATGCATATGCAAATAGAGCATGATAAAATCTGAAAATTGTTAAAACTGCTGTAAAAGAAACAAATTAGTGGTTATCGTCTAGCCAAATGACTTTCATGAATTTTAATTAGTTCTTTATAATCACAAGAGAAAAAAATATTTGTACAAGGAAAAACAAAAACTATATACAGTTTACAATCTTCTTTACTTCAAAAACTACTGTTTTCAGTACTTTTATTCATAACTGGTATGTCTATGGTAAGTTTCTTCTTTTGTAGAGAGATAAAAAGCTTAATAAAATTACACTTTATAAATATGATGAAAATTCAGTTAAGTTACATAAACAACAGAAATACATTTTGATACTCTTGTGGAATACTGGATTATTTAATAGAGTTGAGCAAAATGTGTAATAAGATAACTTGTAATTTTATTCAGAAAGATATACCAGTACATATGTGTACAGTTCAAACTTCCACATTCTAGGTGTAAAGTTTGTCTACTTCTTTGTTTTATTACATTATAGCATATTCAATCCAATGGTACATGTCTAAAAATATTTTATCTGATTCATACCTTGCATTATCATGGAGTCCCTCTGACAGCTCTTCAATGAACCCACTCTGGCAACGTGGGCATGTGAAGTCCTGATAAGAATCCAAAGAACAGATACATTCAAATATCTCATTTCAGTTGCAATAATAAACACAAAGAAATACGGTATAAAAATTGTAAGACAAAAAAATCATTATCCCAACATGTGTACAAAGAGATAGCAAAAAAAAAACACACTGGTTGATGCTACTTGTCACAAGAACACAGCTAATATTCTGACTGAACGACACAAACACTGCTCAACCTACTCATTTGTTCACTTTCTATATAACTAAAATGATTTTAAAAAGTATACTTCTACCACTAACATATCAGATCATAATTTACACATCACAGATTTATATTCCAAAACAAGTGACAAAAATATTTCAATAAATTGCCAATACACATTCAAGCATATAATGAGCACCACAGACTTTTAACATAAACTTCTTAGAATGACATGGCCTCAGTACTGCATAGAAAACCTCAGCACTAATTATGGGTGTGATTACAATAATGACAGCGTTTTTAATTTTTGAACTGATTCATACACTATTACAGATCCTGTAGCCAATACCAATAGTCATGGACCAAAATGCAAACTGGTGCATAAATAATTTAGAAAACTGTGTTTAAAAGTGAGTGGGATTTGTATGATAATTTTTAGAGCTAAACCATTTTCAATATTTGAATTTGCAGTTATATCGTGGAAAATAAATGATTGTATCTCCACTGATAACTTGAAATAACATGGATTATCCTTTTAACCCTATATGCACGAGTGGGGAGGGGATCAAAGTGTTCATACCATGACCTTGTACAGTGTCATTCTACATGGTATTATGTACTTGATGTCAGACATATCAACTATCCATTTTACTCTGCATTACTGATTTAGCGACAGTTCATGGTAGAGGAGAGTAAATACCATATACAATGTACAGGGATACTGACAAAACTTGATATGCATTTTGGAAATTCTACAGGTTATTGAAATACAATATGCAAACTGTATGATGGACAAAAGTATTTTTCCTCTTCACAAGGAACATCACCTTGCATTGTGACTTGTCAGAGTCCAAGTCAGACTGATGTTGTCAATTCACACATATCTTAAGTACAAATACTTTTGTAACAACCGATGTTTTGTGTATACAACAGACTTATATAGTTTACAAAAATCTCACCACACTTTGTGTAGATACATAGCAAATTCAGAATTATAGTTAACATTCCTTCTCCAATACAAGTCCATCGGACCAACCTCATGCACATTCAGTTAAGTCAATACACTTTTAGTTGGTACATTTGATAAATGGCCTGCACAGAATGCAGAGTTCCAAGGGTTTTTAATGCTCATAATTACAAATCTTCAATAAGTGAGAAGCATTCAAAAACCCATCAATCATAATATGTAATTTCATGCATTAATGTGTTAAGCTTCACTGCACATTTCTATTATTTTCACTTAACTTTTTCAGGACCTGGGCTATAAACAAGATGTATTTTGAACATTTTCATTAGTTGTGTTAAGCATGGATAAACTTCTTTAGTAAGAGTTTGGTTTCTATGCATTATGTTGTTCACATTTTGTACTGAGGTATCATACAGAAATATTAAGATCTAGTCTAAATCAGTGTTTTGCAACCAGTGTGCTGCTGAATTTTGTAAAAAACAAACAAATGAAAAACATATTGGTATACAGGGGGTGAGACATTATGACATGCTATGTTCTAATGACTTTGTACTTCCATGTATGTTAGACCAAGTTTTCATATATTATTAAGGTTGGGATGTACCTTTGGCAAGAAAGGAGTTAAAAACACTGGTCTATATATCAGACAGTGGAGCAGTCAATAATTGTTTCAAAATGCTTTTAAAGCTTCCCAATGCAACAGTTTCCATTTTGTCATTAACTTCTTGAATGTCCAAAAGTGTCATGGAATTCACTAGTTCCATATTTTCAGTGGAGAATCAGCCTTTCAAATTCTGTATCAATTCAGAAATAAAGGGCAGTTTTTCACTGTACTGCACATTGCTGGGTCAGTTGCATGTTTTTTTTATTTACGCACAAGTATTTTCTAGTACAGAAATATAAGTAACAACACTAATGTACAAGATACAGTCTTCCTTTAACTGCTCTATACATCAAGAGATAGAACAACTATAAATGGGATGATGCTCACATCACCTTTAATTGATCTATACATCAAATGATAGATCAACTACAAAAGGGATGATGCTCACATCACTCTTATTTTCTCTATACATCAAAAGAGAGATCAACTACAAAAGGGATGATGCTCACATCACCTTTATTTTCTCTATACATCAAAAGATAGATCAACTATAAATGGGATGATGCTCACATCACCTTTAATTGATCTATACATCAAATGATAGATCAACTATAAATGGGATGATGCTCACATCACCTTTATTTTCTCTATACATCAAATGATAGATCAACTATAAATGGGATGATGCTCACATCACCTTTAATTTCTCTATACACCAAAAAAATAAATCAATTATAAATGGGATGATGCTCAAATAAATTTTTTCTAGGTTTTGCTTAATGCCAATAGAGCGAACATTACAAAACATGAGCAGATAAATTATAACTAGAAAAATGTAGTTCTCAAGCTTACATCTTAACATTATTCAACTCTTCCCTTTCCAAAGTAACAATAACAGAGCATAAACAGTGTTTAGGTGTTGATGCACTCTCCTCTAATGAATACCACATAATAGATGATGGCTCTCTCACAGCTTCCATGGTTTGTCATGAAATTGCTCTTCAACTTGCCTTAGCTCTGCCACGTACACAGTATTTTGAAAAGTTTAAGCAAACATCCACAAATTTGTAGATTTTCCTTAATAATTTAAAGAGACAACTAAAGTTGATGTCAGAGTCCATCTGTGGATAGAACAATGAATGTCAATCATTCATGGTGATGTTTCTTTTTTGTTTTTTATTCTATGTCCCATTGTTGAGAACTTACTTTTTTTAGTAGTATGTAGTAATGTAAGTATATGGGTGTGTTGGGGTAAGGATTCTTCTACAGTAGGTGTCTGTGACTTGTTGGTGATAATTTCGACAATAAACAAACAGCACGTACTCCACTTGTTTTTAAAATAATATATTAGAAACAATTTGAACGTATATACAAAATTCTTTACACTATGGAGATCATAGTTGTATCTTAAACACTATACAGTTTTCTTCTTGTCAAAAGTCCACTTAAGCCAATTAAGTTGACAAGCCTATGTATTTTTCTCTCTATCTCTATCGCAATAGCATTTGTGTATTGTTCACTTATGTTGTTGTTGAGTTACCAATTGTATCCTGTACTTCCAATAATCATCTGCTTTCGTACTTCCAAGTCACCTGCCTTTTGTCAAAGTCCATTGAGGCAGGTTCAATTTCTTTAGAACACCCTTTCGACAAGACAACTTATTATCTTTCAAAATTGTTAATCTCACTCTTATATATCAACTGTTAGGCCTTTCACTTCCACAACAGTTAACTTTTCTTTGACCAATCTTCTCTTTTGCATGACTTTTTCTCTCTGTTTCTGCTCATCATTATTTATATCTATCACTTATGCCTTCTAGAAATCTCCATAGCCTCTACATCAATGAATTAGAAACACAAAATTAATTAATTAATAATAATACTACCTACACTAAACAGTCTTTTGTATCTGATACCCATTATCTATTTTTCCAGTAATAAGAATATTAACTAAGATCAAACAGCTAAAGATATTCTTGAAAATACTTTCAGAATTCAAAGCAACTATTTCATCTGATTCTAGATCAACATTACTCAAGATATCCAATATTTTGTAGTAGGAAACAACAAAATCTGTCTTCTTATCTAATATCTCTTCAAGAATCCACCACTCAGTTACTGTACAATGATGGCATTCATCAAATATTGTTGAAAAATCTATCTTTTATATCCAGATGTAATTCAATCCCAAAAACTTCACCCAACATTATCATCACATATATACTCATCATACATGCATTTTAACAACTTGAATGATTTAATTTACAAAATACTGTAAAAAAAAATTCAGCCCTGCACCCAAGCAATTTCCAGCTTAATCATGAAATGCAAGCACAAAAATACCTTTCAATTATTTATGAAAAAATTTGTTGATTAATACTCATGAGTATTCAAAGTATTATATATTTTCATGCCATATAGGAGTGAACTATTCCCTTCACTGTACCTTAAAAAAAAAAAAATGTAAGTCAGATTACTCAATTTTGACTCAAGCAGTAGCACACTCATCTTCTGACTCAGAGCAAATTTTTTGTTTATTACAAGAGGTTCAAACAGCTTTAGTGCTGAAACTACTGGCAACTAAAAGATAGTTATTCATGCTTTTTAACATTCTTCTTACTGTAGAAAGACTTGTTTCTATAAATGTCTTAAAGGTACTTCAAACAAAAATAATTATTCATCAGTATTTATTCAACATCATTACAGCTTCATTATATAAATGTTAATAAACAAAAACCAGTTACTGGCTTAATTAATGAAAAAAATACATGTACTTAATACTTTACAGAAGTACCAAACATTTTCTCTTTTAACAGTTTCTTACCACCAAGTAACCATGAAATTACACGTTATATATCTGAATATACGGTGTGTACCTCAACAAAATTTAGCAAGCTTTAATAATAAAGTATTTTTTGAAAAAGATTTGTATGTGAATTTAGGAAGTCTTCATTAAATCAGTGCGAGCGAAAGTTCATTTTCATGCTAAGAATAAAAATATTTCTTTTTATCTTAAAGTTTTCGTACTTAATTTGCATAACCTTTAGAACTTCCTAAATGAATATCAAAAGTTTGTTTTTGGTAAAGATTTTATACTTCCACTTAGTTTTTCCACCCAAAAGACAAACCATCAAAGTACAATTTAAGATTGAAAAATGTGAAATGATTAGTTCTTCTCTTTCCTTTTTCAAAAACTTTTTACTGTTACTGAGTGAATCAATAATTCTGACCTTAAAGCAATAAATCACAGTTCGATCCATTAACATTTATGTCAAATCAAAAAATGACTTCAGAGTAAATGAGCACAAAGCAGCACAATTAATAAATGTGATCTACTGATTTGAAGACAGCCCTCTAGGCCTGGAATAAAACACAAATGAAAAATTTATCAGCTTGTTTGCATTACAGTGCTTGCAGTGTGATTCATTCAGTCATTAAAATGATCTTTGAATGTGTGAAAATGTTTATGAAATGGCTTCAGTACAAAGTTATTTGCAACATTTACTTGTACATATTATTTCCCATTTGCATCCACATAAAGTTTACTTATCCATTAGCTAAAACACACTTAGCTGAAACTAACACATAAAAAAATCAGTTTTGGCTCAGCTCAGTTTGCTGTATCAACTAAGTTTTGTTACACTGTTATAAGAGAAGTCCTATATCCAATGGTAGCTACTGTTAGAATGGCTAGCTCTAAGTTTGTAACTAAACATTATACATAATATATATGGAATTTCTGTTTAATAGTTTAATACTGAGTTGATCAAAATTCAGCATAACTGTTTCTGTATTTCCACAAAACATGTACTTTTTTTAAATCTGTGATACACCACAAAGAATGTATGTGATATACAGGTAGTTTTTTTTTTCCTTCTTCTACAAATGGTATCTTAAAGCTTGAAGGAGTGAGCCAGGCCATAATAAAGAAGAAAGGATTCCTGACAGAAGAATAGTTTGAATTTATTGTCAGAGGTATCTAAAACTGATGTTTCTGTTTCAATGCCTCTGATGGAAGCTACCTACAAAACCAAATGGTCTAAATATTTTGATCCAGCTCTTCTTGAATCTGTCTTATAGAGAGATAAGAATGTAGCTGGTCAAGCACCTTAATTAGATGAGGATGTTACTGAATTGCCCAGAATAAGTACATTGAGACAAATTACACCATCATCACCATGGAGAAGATGTGTGACTGAGAGAAGGGGGTAGAACTGTAGCCTCTATTAAAATTGCAACTTCACAGCATGAGGCCTCTCAACTGCAATTTGAGGAACACTGTACTAATTGATTAATCAAATGTATTCAATCAATAAGACCATTGTTTAATTGATTAGCAAATACCACTAACAGCCTAGCTCTGTTTACATAGAATTCTGTTACATATGCAAGAAATTTTAATAAGAAAAAGGCCTACAGGTTCAAAAGATTTATTTTACAAAATAAATTGGTGTTACTTTAATTTTTATGTTGTTTTACTATACATTTAGGCTACTTGAAGAATACCCAAAATACTAGGTTTCTACTTTAGCTAATAAATAAGACAAAATATGATTTCTCTTAGTTAATTACAATGAGTATGAATAAATGTGCAGTTATCGGCTAAACCTAACCTTTTCATCACCAAGGACACCCTTTTATTATTATTTTTTTCCACAGAACCATGTTTTGAAATATTCCTTCTAGCCAGCACACTGTTTTTATCAACTAATAATTAACTTGTTTTCTCATTATCAACTAAAAGACACATATAACTGAGTGTGCAATTAAAAAAACAGCAGTATTTAAAAACTTGTATTACTTGTTTTATGAAATATTACATTCACAGACCCCAGGTTGGGAACCACTGACTTAAGGCTTCAATGTTGTTTTAAACACACTTAGGAACAAATAAAACAGTACTAAACTATCTGGAAAAAGTGTTCAAACTATTGTTGCAACAGGTTACTGGTAAGTGAATAAAACTTTTTTCTAAACATTTAATGCACAAGCTTAATGTATAGTTTGAGGGATATCCAGTATCCCATATGCCAATGTGCACATGCTTCATGGTAGTGTGCATTTTAATTTAATCTTAAAAATGTTATAACAGAAAAAAAAACTAATAAGTAAAATAATATATTCTACAATTGAAAGCAGATTTTTTGAAAGCTGGGGTATAAAAAACTTTTTTTTTAAAAGCTAATGCACAATTAAGCCAATTATTTCAATGAATCAAATTCAGTTTAATAAATAGGTGAAAATAATACACAAAATGATTGGAGAGCCATAAAGTCAGATCCAAAGAGAATATGTCAAAAGATAGATAAAAAATAGAAAAGTTTGTCTCTTAAGAAAATCTATCTCGTACTGTTTCTTAAAACAATATTTAAACAAGATGTAGATTAGAATTTTTCAACAATTTTAAACTTAATTTTATTTTATCACATAGTTTAACTTAGGGTAAAACATATTTACAATATTCTTAAGTACAGTAACATAAACAATAAAAGCAAGAAATTTGAACAGTTTGATAATATACTAAAGATGTATTACACATACACAGGTCTATACTGGGATTGTCACTGATTGTAGCCTGAACAGGGGCTAGCCTATATATATATATATATATAACTTATTTCAGAATAACTAGATGTTTTAATGTTTTACTTAAGTACTTTCATCCAGTTGGACTTTTCAGACATTAATAACAATTCAAAATACTACACCATGGATGGAGTTACAAATAAGAGAAAAAAAAGCCAAAAGAGAAAAGTGGAAAGCAAAAGAAAAATATTTCATACAATTATTCCAGCCAATGCTTAATTGTTAAAATATGAATTGCCATTCGTTAATATCTGCACTAAAAAGTACAAATATTAATCATTTACCTTTGCTGCAATATTGCCATGTTGGTAATTAAGATTCATTTTATTAATTATTACAATAATATTAATACTTAATACACTATAATAAAAGTGTAATTTACTATTTATGTTACTATCTTATTTGATTTCAATTTGTTTATTCATAACTTTAATTTTAACTAATTTATGCTAAAGCTTGTAATCCAGCTTTACAAATTACAAGAGTAACCTATGCTATTAAAAGTATTATTAATACTAACATATTGCTAAGGCTAGTACTAGGCATTACTTTACAAGTTGTAATACTAGTAGTACTAGTACAACAGCCAAACTATAGACAACAAGGGACCATAAGGTCCTTCAACTTACTTAAAGGTTATCCTTGCACCAGCTTTTTTAACTTGTAAAAAAAAAAACATGTCTATAAATATACCCTAAAATTCAAATAGATTTACTACTAAGAATAGAGATATCTAATGGCTTCAGTAATTTATGCATCACAATGCCTAGATCCTCGTTTCTTCAATCATGCGTTTCAGTGGGTTCCCATATGTGTTAAACATGGGATCTAATTATAACAGCCCAAATGCACTAACTATAATTAAAGGTACTTTGCCAAATATTTCTTCAACTTACCAACTAATGAAAGTCATTCAGAAGTACCTTTCCATCCTCAATACACTAATTTACTACTTATGTCTCATTATTATCAACATTATTAATTAAAATCAAAAAGGTGTAAATGTTCAATCACTAACACCCGAGGTACTCCACTAGTAATAGGAATACAGTTTGGCTGAACTCCATTAATAACAACCTTTTGCTTTGTCCATCCAACCATTCCACAATCTAATAAACTTTTCATTACTGGGGATTTACAACCACGTGATGTTACATCATCAGTCATAGGTTAGCATGTTTTACCTGTCAACTGTACATGAAACCTATGAAGAATTTTTATTAAAAATGCATTATCTGTTGGTACATAATGATCTTATTATGTACCTTAAGTAAAACGGTGGTTTTTGGTATTCTGTGGTATACATAGTGTCAAATTCACCCATTAGTTTATAACAAAATGCCTGAAAATCATTCAACATGGTATTGTTTCGATCATCTATTATTTTCTTTCAAAGTAGTGCACTTATGGTTGAGCATGCTCAAAAATACTGCTTAACTCTACACGAAAAAGTATGGAACAAGTTACGTGCCTTAAAAATATTTGCAAAAAAACCCTACCACATCTTTATTAAAATGCATGAATAAATCTTAATAAAAAATCACATTTACAATAACCATTTGCAAGTTGATTCATAATTTGCTAATGTCCTCCCAGAGTGGCTCAATGGTGTGTCTGAGGGTTCTGACACTAAGAAGTGGGTTTTGATTCCCATGGTGTAGCTTTGTGCTTCAACAACAAAGAAATAATTTCTTGTGTAGCACTTTATTATGAACCTTTTCAAAATCTAAGCAACAAATTCCACACCATTTCAATGATCCATATAACATAAAAACCAGAAAAAAAAGTAACATTAACAGATTGGTATAGGCACTAAAACTGGGAATCCGTGTTTGTTTTCTTTTTTATACCATATTTCACGATTTTGCTAAGCTTATTTTACCTGACTCTCTAGGTTATTAATACTATTAGTACTAGTAATACTAGTGCTAGTAGTAGTAGTAATGCCAAAGGTATGAAAGCTGTTGAACATAGTTTATCAGCATATTAATAAGACTAAAAACTTTTTAATTAATACTAATAGTAATAGTGTTAGTTTATAAATTATTTAATACTATTACTATTAATATTAATATCGTCGTATCAGAAAATACATTTCTACGAAAACAATAACGCTACTGTTAATATATATAGATATTCACACTTAAAAAAGTCCTTACAGGCAAAACAAGGTTGATTTCTTGCGTGCATTTATGACAAAAAAATTTCTGAATTGGAGACTCCACAACAGCAGCTTCCGCCATATTGCCTTGCCCTACAACTTAACTAAACACGTATTTGAAATGTTAAGCGTGAACCAGGTACTATAGCTGGAGTGAAGAAGCTAAAATATCCGTGAGAATACGTCATCAGAACCAGGCTAGTTCTTTTGACCTACATCAACCTAGGCAATACATATATGAAACTTTTTAAAGGAGATTAATATATATATACAAATTGTTATATAAAACCATTGAAAAAGCTTTACATTTTATATAAAAACAGAGATCAGGGAGTTGTGTGAAGATATATTCTTGAATTATCCCAAATACACTTTTATGACATTGAATAATTTTATATGATTTAATCAAAAATAAAATGTCGTTGAGTGATTCAGCCGACTGCAAAAGACACTTGTTTGAGTGAGATACTTTGATATGTATGGCCTCTGCCCAGCAAACAGAGTCGCGAGTCCGAATCCCTTCTGATTTCAGTTTCACTACTTCAGAACTTCACAGGACAGTGTGTATCAGAAACATTTTCTTTGATCAAGAATCTTAACTATAAAAAGCTGTTGCTTTCAAAGGAAAAGTCAACAAATTTTTAGCTTTATCAGCTGATTGGCATAACTTAAGTGTCCTGCTTGTTTCTTTGTTTGTTTCAAAACTTTTGCTAACAGCCGCCCCTAATTTTGAACTGCTAGACTAGAGGAAAAATAGATATTCAACAGCATCCATCCCAAAACTCTTCAACTACTTTTTGCTTTTTTTTTTGTCACTTTTATAGCACATCCACGGCTTCAAATTACGGAGCGCATTTTCACAGCAATAGGTCAAGAACCATGAACCTTCTAATTCATAGTCCAAGCATGCTAACTGCTAAGTCGCGTTCAGTTCTAAGTGTCTTGCCAAATTATGTTTGTAATAACCAGTTAAATAAAGTTTGAAGGATGAGATATTCAAGAATAGATAGCTTAAGCATTTTTCTGGCAAATAATTTCATGGTCTAATAATCGAATTATTTTAGTTCTCTACTTCCCCCTTTTTTTTATAAGTACTTCTTATGCCATTTTTAAACTTGTTAGTTTTGTGTCAAATGCTTATTGTTGGCATAGTTGCGTACAACTTTTTAAATTACAATTATTTTATATAAAACACAATTGAGATTGTAGTGAATCAACCAGCGATAATAAACGCAGGATAGTATAATAGGAGAATACTCCACCTGCCTCAATGGAGATATGTAGAACATTACCTAAAGAAATTAGTTCACGAGTCGGTGTATTCGTTGATGAAAAGTTATGTGACATATATTGGTCGACACTGATTCAATAGCTTTTAGTAGATTTTCATATTCCTAGCTTATCCTCGACGGATTACCCCTAGACTTCTCGCCGAGCCAAAACATCGATTTCATCAGCAGATTTAAACCGGAGGGGATCAATTGATCCTACAAAGAACGACGGGGTGGAATTTTTCTTAAACCCTCAACCCTTGACGACTTCACTTACCTTTGCCGCCCACGGAACTCCGTACCATAGGTTTCATGCAACTTAAAGAGGCGTTGACCTATCAATTAACCACGAATAAATCAATCAAACAGCAGAACATGACATTGACAAATTCCACGAAATTCAGCAGATCCGCTCGAGGTCTACCGGAAAGGCGACACGATTTATTAAAATAGTCACCACGTCGCGACAATCCGCCGACCATATACTCACCCATGGATGTTCTTTCCATCTCTTTCATTATAAAGCCGAGAAACCATATAGAAAACTTCCCAGTCGTCCGGCCTCGTCACTCATCGTACCTACCACCAAACATCAGCACACGAAAACAACTATTTCATCCCATCTACGCTCCGCACTCTCACTTACTAACCAGACGCCCCAAATCTAGAGATAAACCTCAACCATGGATCAAGGCACCCAAACAGGAATTCGGGATACACAAGACACGTCAGCCATGACAAACACTATCACCTTAACCACCCAGAATACTCAACCAATGCCCTAGAAATAGAAAAAAGCTACCCAAACCCACCAATGACAACATTTCTCCGGGAAACACTCTCTAGTGTCTCCGTCCTTTCCAACCCTTCCCTCCCGAGCCTTCCAGTAACTACCGACCATCTGACTCGACAACATTCCTGCAGATCAACACCCCCCCTCAATTCTCTGCCGCCACACTATGTAGTTATAGACGAGCCCCGCGCCAACTTCTCTTTCCTCCATCGCCCCTCCACCAGTGAAAATGAAGACCCACCCCAATATAGATTTCCCTTCAGCCGTCTCTTCACTAAGAAGAAAACCCTGTTACACTAATCATCCACCACGCCTATCACACCTTCCTTCTTCATCGTTTTGCCTCATTACCATCCAAGTTTAATCGGGCACTGGTCAGGTAGATGGGGTTTTTTCGGGGTACTCCCATTTCCCCCTTCAACAAAGTCTCTAAGCACTAGATTTATAGATCCCCACCATCCTGAAGAACCATAAGTCCGATAATGACCGTTGGTTAAAAGTAAAGCGATTCCACGTGTGATATAACCTCACAATTTCCCGTGTACAAATCCTCACTCCCCATCACGACGGAAACGAAAAGAAACATTCTTTTCTGAGAGCCCCCGTTTGTCTTATGACGCTTCTCTCAGGAAATTTCAAATCGAAAAAACTGCCACGATAAATAAACAAACAATAGCTTCCATTATTCGACACGCTGTGGTGATGAAACGTGATAAATTGCCTTCAGAGTGGAAGCAAAAGGTTGGATTGATGCAATCAGTAAATTGTCATAAAGTTCCAGCTGAGGGAAAGACAGAAATCACCCTCAAGGTGGGAAAGCTTCATTTCATAGCATGATGTGTATGGGTAACTGACGTAGAATAATAGTCCATGTTGAAAATATACTTTATGTGGAAACATAGGTACGATGTTACAGTAGCTTTTATAATTTTACATTTTATTACCTGGAAATTTCTTTGCTCTATACGACAGTTCTTTCACAGAAGTTGGACTTTAGTTTGTGACGGATTTATTATTCTATATTAATTTTAATTTGTTTAAATTAACTTTATATTTAGAAATGTACATAACGTATAATGTTAAATATGCATTGCGAAACTCCCGCCTATTCTCTAAAGTTGTAGAAGATTCTCGAGTGTAAGAATC